CCACAGCAGTTATCTGAATAGAAGATTAAATCTAAATCTGGAGAGCTGTTTGCCTTTTGTACCAAATATTGAATATATAGGAGCACACATGTTCCAATTTCATTACATCCACGTTTTCCTTCAACTTCAGTCCAATAAAAGCATTCAACATCTTTAGCGCTGAGGCTGCTAACAGTAAAATTGTAAGAATTAATCTTGCTTTTATAGTAAAAAGATGATGTGAAGCCTTTTGGCAAGGGTAAAACAGCCTGTAGGTCGTATACAGCTACGTTTTTTTTTGTCTTATCGATATCTTTTTCCATTCTGCATAACGTTTTCTCTTCCTGGTGTGTATCGTACTCTTTACTTAAATTTCTCTTGCAGTTTGCATCTGCATCAGTGTTGCCGTTTTAGCCCTTTGGTGGCTAAATTTGGCTACCAAATTCTTTTTTTGGCCACAAAAATTTGAAATTGCCCCTAGCCCTTTTTTTAGCCCTTTTCAAAATTTATTCATCATTGACATTCAAATTTTTTTTATGATTTTCATGAATTTAACTCTTCGCTCATAAAGCGAACGCCTTTCCTTTAAGGCAAGTAAACATATTTCTATGTATGTTCCTTACGTTTCTGGGCCGTTATCTTATCCGTTAACGATTTAACTATACTTTGTAAGTTAGGTAAGTTGGTGGCCCTTAATATGCTTTCTGTGTTACACAAAAAGTTTTTTTGTTGAATAAAATAGTAATTCTTTTCAGAGTTCATTGTTTTTCTATACCAGTAATTATAGAAAATGTTTGCGTGTATACTTACATATTTATATTAGCAGTACCCCAGTGTGCTTTTCTACACCAAATATTGAAAAACGAATGAAAAGTCCTGGAATTTTTCTATATGAAAATTTATAATTTGTTTTATTTCAAAATTTTTGATTCTTTATTTTAAAACTTAATCCAACAGATTTGGATATACAACATTTTTTGTTTTTCCATCTTGAGTATGAATAAATAAACCATTTTGAATGCCAACTCTTGAACAGGCCACGTATTCCAACAGGCCAATTCACACAAACCATCTGCATAATAGCCCGACTATGCCGTATAAATTTGGTTGAAATCTTGCACTTATTCTTTATATATAAGATGTGAGGTGCCACGCCCTCTTTTCCAATACTGCCCATTTTTATCCATGAGTATGGAATTATTTGTTATACCTCTATACCAACTTCCAGTACTCTACCACAAATATTTCAAGAGATATACAACAAAAAAATTTTAGTTAGTATGGAAGGTGCCACACCCATTTTTACGAATTCGGGAAAACTTCACATAAACCATCTGCATGATAGCCTGAATATACCGTATAAATTTGGTTGAATTCGGTGAAGCCGTTCTCAAGTTATAAGCTCACACCAAAAACGTGTACTTATTTGTATACATAAGATACATACATATGCCACGCCCCTTTTCCAAATTTGGGAAAACTCCACATAAAATATCTGCATGATGGCCCGAATATGCCGCATAAATTTGGTTGAATTCGGTGAAGCCGTTCTTAAGTTATATTGTCACACCAAAAACGTTCACTTATTTTTATATTCTAGTTAGTATGGGTGGTGCCACGCCCTCTCTTCCGAATTCGGGAAAACTTCACATAAACCATCTGCATGATAAATCGAATACGCCACATAATTTGGTTGAATTCGGTCGAGCTGTTTTCAAGTTATGAGGTCACACCTAAAACGTGCACTTATTTTTATATATAAGATGTAGGTAAAAAAATTTTGCTACCATTTTTAGCCACAATGCCGATTTTTAGCTCTTTTTTAGCCCTTTTTTAGCTGCAATTTAGCTACCACTAAAAATGTTTCGCGGCAACACTGATCTGCATTTAGGAACGACTCGCAGAGATCACATTGATCTTTTTTTGGTTTAAAGAAGGAAATATTGAACTTTGTGTTAAATATTTTATAGAACAAAATTTTACTCCCAAAATTTAAATGTTCTGCTTCACGAAATTCTTTATAGTCTTTGTATAGATCAGCAATACTTTTTCCACTTTCAATGAATTCCCGCGAGGTTTGAGCTCGTAAATAGTGTGATTCTATTCTTGGAATTTTTTCAATAAATTCTTTAATACTGTTCCTTATTTCAGGACTAACTTTTATATGTCAACGAAGCCCTCACCATTCTTTTTTTCAATCACTGTACGTATTACTCTGTTATTTATATCAAGAGTTGTTATAAAAAAAGTCTTACATACTCTAATGAGTTCTGAGTTCACGTCGAAAAAATAGGCATTGTTAAGTTTGCGAAACCCTTGTGTACAGCTGTACCTGTATTTTGGTTTTACTACTTTCATGTGGCTAGCTATAAATTCTCGCTGTCTTTGCAAATCACGTAAATTCCAATAGTTGCTGAATATTCTAAAGCGTTGGGGTCTGGAAATTTTTTATTGCATCGTAGGCAGCATTTTTCTTCACAAGATGAGCGTATTTGCCGTGCATGTATAATTTTTTTGGATTTGGGAAGAGAAGTATAAGAAAGACCACTGTCTCTCAAAAATTTTTGCTTCTTTTGTTTTTTGTTCTCACTTTTGTATTTACCGCGCGCTCTCTGCCTACAAAATGTATTCTCTTCTGTTTCTGAGCTATATTCCGATGAGCTTATTGCTTCGGAAGGACAAAATTCACTCCCAGAATCACTAAATATATTCATATTGCTATCACTCAGAGGACTAGATGGTCTAGGATCAGCCTCTGTATTTCCGCTATCACTCATATTGCTATCACTCAGAGGACTAGATGGACTACGATCAGCCTCTGTATTTTCGCTATCACTCATATTGCTATCACTCAGAGGACTAGATGGACTAGAATCAGCCTCTGTATTTCCGCTATCACTCATACTGCTATCACTCAGAGGACTAGATGGGCAAGGAACAGTCTCTGCATTTAACATCATCAGAGTTCTTGCATAATGTTCAATATTTGGCAAGACATTTTGTTTAGTTTTCACTAATGGAGGGGGGTAGGGGCACTCACCACTGGCAGGCACTTTCCTTTTGCAAATAAGCACACAATATTGTTTTTAAATTAATAGTATAAAAGTTAATATAGTTTTAATTTCTTTATTTTACACTTTTAGCTGGCAAACTTTATTTCTGATAACAATTTTTTTTATTTTTCTTGTGCACAATAAGCTTTTAGATTTTAACAATAAATTTTAATTTTGATAATTTGCAAAGGCCACGACAGCTAACTCAACGACAACTTATTTAGCGGCCGTCGATGACCGCTCGCTAAGGTGTGCAGTGAGCGTACAAACATACATAATATTTTGTTCTTAATGGTTTTAGATTAGGATTTTTCGAATTTAAATGTACGTATATTTTAGGGTAAGTATGGATATAAAAGGTAAGTATAAAATTCAAGTTTAAGAGTAAATTCAACGATGCAATGCACGGCGTATACGTAACATTTTTGTATAAAGTGAATATGTATTACCATACTCCTCGTTTAATATACATATTTCTAATATGATTTCAAGATTATCTCTAACCGTAATAGTAATACTTACATTGATTTAAATTATCAATTATCATAATTACTTGTATCAAAGATAATACGCTTGGTTATACTTACTTTTTCTATAAAAAAATCACACCTCTGAACGATATCGCAAACTATTTCAAATTTTGCCAACTAAAGTGGCACAAGTCGAAATAAGACTCTTTAACTGAAAATAAAATTATATTATTGCTTAAGTGCAAACTGTCACAACTATAAATAGTACTCTTTAGTTGATACTGTTCAAGCAGGTAACATAAACGCAAGTAACATTAAAACAGACATAACGGCATTTCTCCAGTTAAGGAAGGCAGTGTTGGAGAAGAATTTTTCCCAGTCGTTGGGGATGTGATCTGAGAACTGTTTTATGGGAAAAAGTCGATTTTGAAAAATTTTGAGTTGTGACTCTTTTTGATTTAGTGTGCGATATGTAGAAGAATAAAAAATTTTAAAGTCGTGGGAATTTTTTTAGTACAATTTTTACCAAAAATATTAAAAATTTGGTGAAATGCTCCTACTACATATGGGGTTTTAAACATTTCAAAAACTAGTACTCACTCAAATTTGGTACACTGTTCTAAAAAAAACGAAATTAGTACTAAATAATTCCACAGGCCTTTTATGTGACTCATACATTTGATTATTACACAACTTTTCATTCATATTTTTGGATATTTTAATTGTACGAATATTAATGCAATAATATATTCTTATGTCATAAAAACGCATTTACTATAGACAATAAAATAAATGTTTATCATAATCTTTGGCTTCGTTTTCATTAAATGCAAAAAAAATATTAATTCTAAGTATCGAAGGATTAAATGTTTATCAATTATTTATTTTCTTTTTTGGCTACTGAATAATGCACTTTTTCAGCAACCACTGAATAACATTTCGCATTTACTATTGAATCATTAATATATGTATATGTATGTAAAATAAATGCGTTATTTTCAAATCAGTTAATTACCATAAAGGAATAAGTTAGCATTTTGCAATGTGGCATTTTTTATGCAATTCAATTCAGGGAGTTCTATAGAACTGCATTAAAATTGCCATATCGGAGAAATGCTGCCTTTTCACTGTTGATAATTAGGCGATAAAAGCGACAAGGGGGCTGGACAAACGTTACTCCATTAAACCTTTTCAATAATAATAGGAAAAACAACAGAGGTATTCGCTGCAACAGGAAACGTCTTGAAATCTTCGAATGTCTTTAAACTTTTGATTGAAGTATCAATTCGTATGAAGAATTTGATGAACTTGAAGTTTTCAAATACACAATTTAATCTTGAGATAAACTTGAAGTGTGTCTATATTCAAAAACATATAATTCAAAACAGTCGTGAATGAGTTATTGAAATTACCCGGATTTATGTACATTTGTATATCGGGCCAAGGATTATTACTCCAGCAATATTTAGTATCCGTTAGAATGTTATTTCGTCTGGATAATATTTTAAACCAGCTAATACCTGAATGTATTTTAATATTAATGCGATCCGAGCGGACAACTCATATGTAAGTTGCTACTTATGATTCAATATTGAGAGAATTTAGTACAAATAAAAAGAGACTCAAAATGCATGATTCTTAAGAATTGTGTTTTGGCCATCACCGTAGAGATAAAAATGCAATCGAAATAACTACTTTGTTTGCCATCTATACTTTAAAATGTTTTTTTTTTTTTTTTTTTTAGTTCAGCTATCTCACACTGAATCACTGCCTTACGTTAATAAACAATAAATATATTTTAAAAATTTATTGTGGCTACTTAGACGTATTCTGTTAGACATTTTTGTAAAGGCTTTTATTAATGGCTTACAGAGTTTGTATTGTTAGTAGAGTATACACATCGATACATAAATACATTAATAATTTGAATGAGTTAATCACCATTAAAAGCGGTTCCCGAAACCCACAGTGTAAGTACTAGCGCATCAAAGCATTCTGTTAAACGCCTCATAAATCCAATCAATCAATCAATCACCAGTAGTAAGAGGGTAAAGTCTGCCAAAAAATGCCAGCCAGCCAGTCACCCACCCACCACTTAAACAAATGTGTGTTTTTTTTATAAACCACGCATAAGCATTTCGCCGCATATACAACACACATAATTTCAATTTATTTTTAGTTTTTTTTTTCTTTCGTTTCTTTGGTTAATAGTTAGTCATTTAAAATCAAATCGAAAATCTAGTCAAGTAGCTATGCTTTTTTGTTCTATAATTTACTAATTCACATCATTTAAATTGAGTGTGTCTTTTGTCAGAGCGTGTGTGTGTGTGTGTGTGTGTGCGTGTTAGGATGAGTGCGTTGTTTAGTTTATTCTTTGCTTGCTTTGTAATTAGTTTTTCGTTTTTAGGCAGTACTTGAATTTTGCGAAGCGCCACTGATTGCATTAAACAAAGCCATGCTATTGCGTTGTCCGCTTGTGACACTGTCATCCAAAGGCTGAAACGGCTCACCGAGTAGCTCGCTGAGCGCCTGACAAAGTTTGCGATAGTTTTCGGTGAGTGCCGTGTGATATTCCGCCTGATCGCTGCTAATCATGCGCGCATTTAACTGGAGTGCAGTATTGCAAACTTTAACGAAGTCTCTGAAAATTTGAGAAATTTTTTAAATTGTTAGCATCTTTTTGATCGGAGTACGTATCAAATTTTACCTGAAAATATCCTTCAAATCCTCTACACGATCAATTGAGAAATTACACGCTATTTTGGGATCCAAAAACGCTTGCGCATAGGCAAGTGGTCCGGCATTCACCGTAACTGCTACGCTGCCTTGCAGTCGCAGTTGTAGTTTTTTCACATCAGCTGGCGGTAGTATAACCTCTTCCAGCTCAGAAACCTTGGTTTGCATTTCATCGATTGCCACTTCAATTGGACTGAGTTCGATGATTTCGCGTGATTTCACTGGTATACGTTTGAGTACGTACGGGAATGAGTAGGCGGCTGTGGAGGAAGTCAGATCCATCTAAGTGTTTTGGGGAACCAAAAGGTAGTGGAGTACTCACTTTTAATGACCGTTTTGCGTTTCCATTGCTCCTCCACGCTGCCACGCGCTGTACCAGATTTTGTAAAGGGTGTTTCGTACATAAATGTGTCAACATCATGATTTTGTTCGAATTCATTTAGGCGCTGATCTAGCTCCTCTTTGCTGAAAAATGGTATGACATGTGTCACTTGAATGTAGGCCAATTTGGGGTCAAGTGAGTTGGGATCCACCTGTGGAAAGGAAAATGATAAAATAATTATTAAAGAATGTGTGAAAGGAAGTTAAAAGGCTAAAAAGAAAGATTGTACTAAGGAACTTGAAATTAAAATTAAATGTATCAAAAAAGCTACCTGTATGGAGAAGGATAACAAAAGAGCCAAACGTAGAAGGAAAAGGATGAGAAAAAAGACAAGTATTATAATAAGAATATCGTATCGGAGAAGGGAGCGGAGAGGAAAAATAATGATAAGGATGCGACAATGAAAAAGCAGCCACAACTTAAGAATACCAGAGAATTTCAACCTTTTTGTAACAAATTGTTATTTTGTAAATTATTTTTATTTTTCCGCAACAGTTTTTATAAAAAATGGCCCAGGCTCTATACAGTTGTTGAATATTTTTGTAACAAAAACAAACAAGATATTTTCCTGTTATCTGATAACACTAGTCAACAAAAAAACAAAAACCAACCTGTGGCATTTGACCAGCATTGTTTACGCAAAATGGCCAGATTTCCGCTCTTGTGAACTGAAAAAGGGCGTCACTTAATTACAATTTTATATTTATTTTTATTTTTTTTTTATACAGTTGGCCTACATTCATGAAATCATAAACTTGTATGGAAACTTTTTTATGTAAATATTTATACTTAAGTGCTCATAACTTCTACAATTGTTTTCCAATTTATGCTCTGATTGGTCTTAAATTATTTATAGAAGATCATAATTTGACGTCCAAGAAAAAAATTGAAGAAAAGAAATTTTTTCAAATTGATTTTTGTACCGAAAGGAAAACTCTTTTTGAAATTTTGTTAAAAAATATGCCAACTTGTCGATAAACCAATGTGTAGCTCCTCAACTATTACTCCGGTTGTAATTAGATGATAGCAAACTTAATGCTTTACTAATATAAAAATAATTTTAAAATTGCCCGACTTTACCCAAGAACAATTTTTCAATTAAGTGAGTACACCTTTTTCGGATCTCAAAAAACCGAAATCTGGCTATTTTTCAAAAACGGTTCTACTTTTTTATATACTGATTTCGTATTCGGATTCAAAGGATAATTTTACATTAGTATTCATATAAAAATGTCGCAGGTCGGATAATTTTTTATTTCTACAAACTTATGCAATCTGTCCTAACTTTTTCCTCTAAACCCCCCTTGTATTTTCATCCACACACACCACATGTAGATAAAATACTCATGCGCCAGCAAAAAAAGTAAAATTTATTTCGATTGCTGTGACATTTGTCTTTGCCAAAAGCATCAATTTCACAAATCTGGTAAATATTTTCCTGAAAAGAATTAATTTTTGTTTCGAAATTTGACAAGATATTTTTTTAAATTTCTACGTTTTTTACTTCAGTTTTAAATCCCATAAAATTCGTTTTAAAAACAATAAAACCATAGATTACGTATATTTTATGCCTTTCTTCGAAACGTTAACACCGCCGCTGCTAATCGATCCGCACTGCTATCAGGAGAAAATTTTCTAAAAAGTTATTAGACCAGCGGGAAGTTTTGGGAAGGCAACTGCAATAACAACAGAGCCAAAGTAACGGTGAGTTTTAAGTCAGAACGCTGACCGTATTTTTTCCGCGACGAAGTGCATAGTGAAGATGCAAGCGGCTACGGATATGCAAATTGAAATGACAAAAAAGGAAAATGAGGAACCAGTTAAGTTACCAAACAACAGCACAATTATCTCAACCAATGGACTCAAAATTACATCCAAATTAAACCCAGATGCAAAGGAGTTTTATCCGGCTTATCTGCTACGACAGAAAATCATGCGCGAGATTGGTGATGCGACGCTGGCTCAGCCGCTACACTTTGCACACAATTCAAATGTGCTGAAGGTAATCAAGCTAGAAGGCGTGACAGCTAAACAAATGGACGCGTTAAAGAAGGAGTTGGAGTTGAACAAGTCAAAGGATGTGGAACGAAGTGAGGCTGTGGATGAAATGAAAATTATTAACAAGGCAATCAAAGCCAATGTAGGCGAAAAGGAGAACGAATGCGATATTGTTGATGGAGAATCGAGGGTAGATGCCGACGAAAGGGAGCATAAAGACGAGGACGTGAGAGCTTCGGAAGAAGACAGCACTGACTTAGAAAACTTTGAAGATGCTGAGGGTGAACCAATGTTACAGCTTGCCGTCATCAAGGCGGCGAATAAGGCATATATAGCGGACGTGAAAGGAAAAGAAGAGCTTAACTCCCGTCGCGAGAACGCATTCAGCGAAAGCGCCTTGAACAACCGCCACCCGACCGAATACACCAGCGATGAAGAGAACCGCGAGCAATTTTCCGAACAGGGATCAAATGAAACGCTCAACGAATACAAGTACAAAGAAGACACCGAATCGGTGGAGGTGAGTGAGTTGAGCGAGGAAAATGAGCTGGCCGAGGAAGAAGCTGCTTCGCATGAGTTGCCACAAATACTAGAGGAAATAAAGGAGTCGACGAACCGCTTGTGTGGCGATGGTGATGTCGACGCAGAAGTGGGCGCCGAACCGGTTTGTGAATGTGCCGGTGTTGGCGATGGCTGTGTGCCCAATCACATCGTGAGTGTAGAAGCAGGCAAGTTATGCTGCGAAGCCGACACCAAACTACCGGTTGGGGCATCACACGCGCCACCCAACACATCAATTGAAGTGAATGCCAAGAGCACCATTGGCAAAGCGCGCCTTAGCAAAGGTAAGACAATGAAGGAGAAAAGCGACAAGAAGAAGTCGGAGAAGCGTACCACGCTACGCAAATTGGCCAACATCAGTTTGAGCTTACGTGGCAAGAATAGCGCACACCACGCTGAGAAGTCAACGCCGCGCTCTAATTCGGCAGCTATGACACGCACAAAGCGGCTAACGGAGAGTTTACACAATCTCACTTCGGGACTAAAGTCGATCAAGTCGGATAGTAAGAAGACAGAGGCAAGCTGCCGCTTACTACCGCGGTCTGCCACCAACATACCACGTCTGACAGCACCGCGCGCGCGCGTTAATGCGCTCACACGCGTAACAACAGAAATCAATGGCATGAATTATAAAGCAACGGGGGCAGCGCGCGCGTCAAATGCCAATAGCAGCACCACCACAACCACCACAACCACCACCACCACCACCTTGAGGAATGCCATTTCTTTGCAGTCGGCGAGCTCAAGCGAGCAAAATTTGACAACAAAGTGAGTATGAAAGAATTCATAAAAAAAAATACTACAATTATCTCTTCGTTCTTCTCTTGCAGGCCCACTGTGGCCAAGAAACCGCTTAGCAGCAAGTACAAAAACGCCGCAGCTGAAAAGTTGAACATACCCAAGCTAACGGCAACGAAGTCCAAGGATTCGGTAGGCACAGCGCGCCCACGTGGCACTCACGCTTCAACGCTGCGGCAAAGCGAAGCGCAAAAGGTAAGCAAAACAATTTCTGTCCTCAATACTTTGCTTCTCTACATATTTTTAGCTATATTTGCATGCGAATGCTGTGCTTCAATATGCTCTTTTCTTTCTTTTCATTTTATATGTCCATACGCCGCAAATCCAAAATCCGCCGCATAATGCGTAAATCGCTACCTGACCGCTGTACCTGCGTGTAGCGTCGCAGTCTCTTTCCGAACGATGATGCCGAATCGAATATTGAACTGTCGCAATTTCTGTTTAAGTAACGTCTCGTAAAATTTGTACTTTTTTTTATATATTTCTCTTTTTTTAATTGCACGTCTCAAATAATTATGAAAAACAAAATTTTGTGAATTCGAAGAAAATTTAATTGTCTTTAAATAGTTTCCAAATTAATTCAATTACATATATATTATGTACTAGATCGTCCTCACCCGCTTCGCTGAGTGTATGAAATTTATATGTGCTACATTGAGTAAAATTTATTTCAAGAAAATTCAATTAAAAAAACATGAGGTTTAAAATTTGTTTAACCATCTTCAAAATATTTTCCAACTAAAACTTTCTGAAACTTCTCACTTGTCATACGTTTGCAATTAACTTATCCCCTAAACTCAATTAAAGATTTTAAACAAATGGAAACCTCTTACATGTAGTTTTGAAATGAAACCCTTTGAAAATGATTTGGATTGAAAACCATATTTTAATAATTCATTTAAATTATTGAATCGTTAAATTTACCCTTTTAAACAGTTGACAACCTTTTTAAACCTCTTTCGTCTAACACTCATATTGTGATACATATTCAAAACCATTTCGATTCATACCAATCTTCTATAACACTACATATTTTGAAAGCCGTTTTTTATGTGTTCGCAAAGCTCGAGAACGACCGAACTGATTTTTTTGAAATTTAGGACATCTGCTTCAGACGTCCCAAGGATAGTTATAGGCTAAAAAAAAATTTCGATATATTAAGAGGGCGTGGCACCTCCCACACAAACCGATTTGTTCATACTGCATATCTCTGGAAGTGTTCATGGTAGAATACCGGTACTTGGTACGGCGATATATGAAATCAATCTTATACTCATGGAGAAAAGTAGGCTATTTGAAAAGAGGGCGTAGCGCCGTAAAAACATATATATATAATTCTTCTGTATGTGTGTTTGTGAGTGAAATACTCCTAAATGCCCGGACCGATTTAAACGAAGTTTTTTGTGTGCTTTTGAATGGCTCTCTGGGTAATGCAGTTTCACAATTTCACCCGCCAGTTGGCGCTGGAGTTAAGTTATTACTAAAAATCTTATTCATAAATTTGGCTATTTAAAATATGTATTGGTAACGGTAAAGGCAATACCTTTTTTAAAAAAGGGCTGCCAGGGGGCGCTGGAGTCATTACGAATAATCGCCAAGTTAGAAAAGGTGCCGTGAATATCAAATTAAATCGACCTATTGCACCATTGAGTATATAATCGCTCTTGTGCGTTACGATTGGCTCAATGGATGTGATTTTCCAGTATTACTTATTAAGCGGAGACACCAGGATTGAGTTGTGCAGGGGTAAATCTCACATCACCATCGATAAATCAACCGCAAGAACCATTGCGCGCCTTTTACCACAATATTTATTTTTAAATAATTGAATTTCATTTTTAGAAAGGTGGCAACCCCTGTGAAAGACTTAAATATTATTCAAACTAAATGTTTCTTAACAATATCCCGTTAGACAACCATATTTTAATTCTTCAGATAGCTTGCATATAATTAATTTAAATTTGACTTTTCAAACAGGTGGCAACCCGTTTCAAAATATATTGGACCTACAGCTTTTTCAAGCCTCTTGACATCAATTTTTTAGTATAATTTTCAAATAAATAACTCCCATAATTGAAGTTGAATTTGATTTTTTTAAAAGGTGGCAGCCATCATCCATGAGTAGATAATGATTTTATATATCTAAATACCAAGTTCCAGTAATCTATCAAAAATATTTCCCGAGAAATGCAGTATAAAATATTCCGTTTGTATGGGAGGTGACACGCCCCCTTGTCTAATCGAGATTAAATTTATCCTATATTTTAAGTTGGGCTAAATGACTGCAGTGCACAAAATTTCATGATGATCGGTTGAGTAGTTAAAGCGGGAAACCACAGAGTCTTGAAAATTGGAATACCTAAAGTTGTACGAAAATATCGGAAATTTTGGAATCTCGTATGAAAAATATATTTGAATTTCTATTTTCTACACAAGTTTGTTTTTGTCCTCTTATGATTAGAAATATCAAATCTATAATTAAGTAGTATTGAAGATAATTTCATTATGTTCATAGTTAAACTCACCGGTGATGAGTCCATTATCATCTTGACCACATCGGCGCCGAACTTTTCTTTATATTGTTTTGATAGACGCTCGGATATCTCGCTGAGTGAGGTTAGTTTTGGCTCCTTGTAAACAAATTCAACCGCATGATCATCTTCATAGTATACCTGGAACAGAAAAAAAGCATAAATAAAAAAAATTCAGCAAAATATCCACCACACTCACCATGCCGAAGAACACGACGCGATAGAAGCGTCCCAGCATGCGTTTGCCCGAACGATTCACCTCAACGATTTTATTGTAAGCCTGCGTTAGATGCTCATACGACTGTGCCAGCTCAATGTATGACCGATTGCGCTCATACATCGGCAATATGAGTTTATAAAGATCACCCAAGCACTCGAAACGTTCGCCACGATCGAGGAAATCGGCGCATTGCTTCAGCTGATCCAACAGCATCTGCTCGGTGTACTGCGAATCTTGTGCGCCAGCATCCAACTTCAAGCCTTGCTCATCGCGTGGTATATTACGTGATATCTTGGCGAATGCCGAAGCGCCCCAGTTGATGTTGCAGCCGCCGCGTAGGCGCAAATACTCCGACATTAGCGCCGCTATGTGCATATGGCAGCACGCCGCCTCCGATATGTTGCCATTCTGCTCGTGATTACGCGCCATTGTAATGAGCCAGGTGTGGCGCAGCTCTGGTGTCGAAGCATACGAGTTCGCCAGCGAATACTGCAGCTCGAGTAGGCGTTCGGGATCCATGTGATGTGCCTGCATTTGAGCGGTTGCCATGAGCACGGTGCGCACGCGACGCGTCAGATCTTTCACCTCCACCGGAAAGCCAGTGCCTTTCATTGCTTTGTCGCTATTGGCATAGCTGTTGATCATCGATAGACTCTCTTGAAAGCGGGCATTATTCAAGCCAATCACATTGCCGATCATTTGCGAGACGGATATGATTACTTGTAGGTGAACACGCGTCAAACCCTTGCGGCCAGTGTATTCAAAGTTGCTACGCATCAGCAGATAGAGCACGGCGCAGGACTCGTGCCGTATGGCGACGAGGCGACTGTCGCAACCCTTCAACAGTTCGTAGACCATTTGACCGCACAGCGTGGCATTGCCTTTGAAGAGTGCGGGTGAGAAATTGTTAATGAAGGCGCGCAAGGCGGCAAATACGTGCTTTGAGAGCCTTTCCGACTGGCCGAGCTGCAGGAAGCGCAGATAGACGCGCGCCAGTTGTGGCAGTACGAGGCTATCGCACAACTTATCGCGAAAGTGTACCGCATACAAGCCGAGGCTATCCAGTATGATCATGCCGATTTCCGTTGCCAGATTGGACTCATATAGCGCCTGCTGACTGCGCGCCGTTTCCTCAACGAGGCTCTCGCGATTTTGCGTAAGCGTCAGCGTGCCAGACTCATGTGTGGTACCATTGCCGTTCGACGCTTGCTCCACACTCGGTGGCTGCATGCGCGCGGGTAATGTGCTAGCCTTGGCCGTGCGCGCCGAACGCGCTTCCTTGCCATCATCAGCCAAGCTGATATGCTTCTTGCCAACGTAGCGAAATTGCACCAAGCAGAGGTCGAGCACGCTAAGATAGGCGAGCGTCTCCGTTTCGGTGCAGTTCTGCCACCAGCCTATCATCTGATCTTGTGCCAAATGCTTTACAACAAATAGGAAACCGAGCAGTAGATCCTTACTCTCCGCCATGTTGAATTTGTCACAGCGCGGCAGGCTATTCAAACCGTGCATAACATTAATGGAGCGATTGTGGCCGTTACGCATGGCAACCTCGGAGAGGTCCGTGACGTGATGACCATTAGTGACAGCGCCCAAAGTGGGCGTGTCTTGCGAGTTTTGCGAATCTGAATTGAGCGTGTTCAGTGAGCTCTCCGAATTGCCATTGGCCAGTGGCGCAGTGCCGGCAGCGTGTGTCGCATCCCTGACGTACACGGAGGCACGCAGCGGACTGGGATGTTCGATGTGGAGAGTCATGCGGTTTTTCGAGCGCGGCGTCGACGTTGACGAAGCCAAAATAGTGTCCTTGCCAAACACATAACTGCTGGAGCACGACAAGCGCTGGGTGTAGGAGGCTGAGTCGGCGTATACGTGTCCATTGGGCGTTGCCACACCCGTGAGATCATCAATGCGATGCGCGTTATCCATAACAATGCCCAGCCAGGGCACATAGAGCAGCGCGATGCGCGACAGTTGTCCACGATTCTGGTAACGATCGTCGAGTTCATGCTTGGCAAGCAAATTCTTAAAGATACGCAGCGCGTGACGTCGCACAGAGGTCGGCTCGTTCAGGCTGTGCTTCAGCTGCTGCAACAGCAGACCGGCAAGAAAGTGTTGCCTACAGAATTCCTGAGAGAGTGTAAAATGGAGCATCATTTCTGGTGGACGATTCTTTGGATTCAGCACGAATGGCAAATTTAGTGGCACATAATGTTCGTGCTGACAAATCTCGGCTAGAAAGTCGAATTTGAACTCTTGCAGCGTACGCTGATCGCCCAGCTCAAATTGCTCCATGTAATTCTTGATTAGCTTGAAAACGAAACCGCGGTCCATGTAACTGAGGCAGCGTCGCACAAATTGCGATAACGATCTATTCAATTGCTGCGTCTCGACGGGCAGATCCTTGTAGCGCGAAATCAGATAGGGCGTCAGCACTTTGATCAAACTCTCCACGCGCGCGGGGTACTCCTTGGGAAAGCGTTCATTGCGCAGCATACGTATGCGGCCAGTATCCAACAGGTGTTGCGCCATGCTCTTGATGATCAAATCGAAAAAAATACCCGAGTAATGCATGAATTTGTTGACGATCAGAAAATCGGTGTTGTTCGGATGCAAAATGGTCGGCAAATGCTTGCACAATTCGCCGTGTACCGTGCGCGGCGTCTTCTGGCTGTAGTAGGGCGCATGAAAGACATACTTAACATAGGCGCTGAGTAGCTCCTTGCGTCCGGCCTCCTCGATCAACATGTGTATCATATTGATGAGCAGACGTATGATATTCAAGCCGATCTCCTCGGATTGTGTGTGTACGAGTAGCGTGAAGAGTTCATTCAGCACGGTCGGTAGAAAATTTATCAGCGTGCTGATGTCGATCGCATGCGCTGCCTTAAGTATTTTGCAAGTCTCCGATTCAGCGGGTAGCGCTGTGGTTTTTCCACCCTCTAGCAGGCGCTCACAATGTGCGAAAAAATTATGCAAATGCTGATCGGCTGTCAGCACAGTAGAGTCCATGCGGAAGGCAACGCTGAAAAGTGGGCGCTGATTGTCGATCCATTGTATGTCAGGACCGCAATTCTGCTGGAAATATGGTAATGTTTTGTAGCCAAAAGAGAGGATGGAGGAGCGCGACAGTGACAGCGAGAGGAATAATGAGCGCGGGAGAAAAAGAGTGAGTGCGAGCAAGCGAGCGAGCGAATATGATGAAAACGAAAATTTGGTTGAAGAGCGAGCGATGACGTTTTTGTATGAATTTTGTTGTTGTTTTACGACCACAAGTGATAGTATGAAGGCGTGGTGCAGTTGAAATTGATATGCCACAAAGTGATGGATGGTCGATTTATATTCATGTATTTTAATGCACGAAAAATATATGAATTATTTAAAAAATTATATAAAAAGTTGTTTGATTTGAATAGGATTTTTTATTAAAATTATTCCAAACAATTGAATTATTTAATCATTTTGTTTATTTATTTCAAGAGAGTAAATAATATTTGAAAATTAATATTTTAACGAGGGCAAAATTTCATTTTTTTTTCAAATTAAAGTTTTTAGGAAAAGATTAATAATTAAATCAATTTCAATTTGGAATTTTTATAGATTTAATTTATTTATAATTTTTTAAATATTTTTGTGAATAGAATAATTAATAAATTTTGTATTTAGTTAAACATTTTTTATATTTTTTTTTTGTATTTTTT